ATTTGCAGTTTGACTCCCATCACCCTTTGGAGCACAAGTTAGGAGTCATCAGGACTCTGTACCACAGAGCAGACAGCGTCCCCACTAACTCAGGAGCCAGGCAGAAGGAGAAATCCCACACAAGACAGGCTCTAGAGCAATGTGGATATCCTAACTGGACCTTCCTGAAAGAAGAAACCCAAACAGGACTCCAGTCAGCCAACAGGTGAAAAGGAGGAACCCAGACCCAGACCAGCGGTCATTCCATATGTTGAGGGAGTATCAGAGAAACTGAGACGTTTATTTTCTAAACATAACGTCCCAGTGGCTTTTAAACCCCAAAATACATTAAAGACTGGTTCATCCCAAAGATCCAGTCCCCCGGCACAAACAGAGTAATGTTGTGTATGTTGTTCAGTGTCAGGAGGGTGATCAGTCTTACATCGGGGAAACAAAACAGCCACTGGCCAAAAGGATGGACCAGCACAGAAGATCAACATCATCAGGCCAGGACTCTGCGGTCTACTCTCATCTCCAGGCCAGCGGTCACTCTTTCAGGGATGAAGATGTTCACATCCTGGACAGAGAGGAACGATGGTTTGAGAGAGGAGTAAAGGAGGCCATCTTTGTGAAAAGAACTCGTCCATCATTAAACAGGGGTGGAGCCTCCAGGTTCAACTGTCCCCCTCTTACAATGCTGTGATTGCTAGTATCACTCAGCCCTCTGTGAACAGTAAACAGCCATCAGGTGCTAATGATCCATTGTTAGGCTGATGGTCCTTCTTGAGCATGTGATCAGCTGGTTCTGGTTGTCAGCAGCAAACTGGTTGATCCACTCTGAGAAGGTGCTATTTAAGAGACTGAGCTGAAAACAGCTCCTCAGACTGAAGAAGTCTCTTGGATGAGAGACGAAACGTTTCTACATTTTTTTGTTGTTTTGTTTTTTGAATGTTCAGAGGACCAGATTTAACTTTTTTAGATTTTTCTACCTGGATTATTGAGCATGCATCAGGATATCTCCAGATTGTTGTCTCTGTCATGGTGGAGCTGTTTCTCCTCTCAGTGACTATAAATGTCTTTGAGGAGCAACGAGTCTGGTTAACGGAAAGTCCTGGCTGGTTCCTGACGGACCACGTGTGTCCAAAGGGTGGGGTGGAAGAACATCCCGGTGTTTCCATGGCAACAGCCTCGGTTATGTAACATCATATGGTGCGGTGTAAACAAAGCACCCACTGTGTATCTATCTCTTCAACAGCTCTGCTGTGGTAAACTACCGGAAAGAGGCCTTTTATTTTAATGGATCTCTCCGGTAGAATTTAAAAAAAGCCTTGATTTCCTTCAATTGTAACCTCACAGTTTATTTTTTACATTCCTGCATATCTCTGATAAAAATCCTGAAATATAGATTGTTAGAGAAGGAAAGATTTATTGGGATGCTACATCTGGATTCTTTAAAAGTATCAAAAAACAACAACTTCCAGTGTGTTTTGAGATTTTGGCGCTTGCTTCTGCCAGACAGCTTGAGCTTTGCGTTGTATTTACGATGCGTTTCATTTTTACAGGCATATGTCGGCTAGCCTTTGGTACTCTTAGCATTTAGCTAGCTATTTGCACTTTTAGCTAATAATTGGCTTTTTAAACTGTCATAGTGTTTTGGTATTTTGAATTAAGAGTCACTACTTTCAGCTTGTAGCTAGCATTTTGTTATTTTTATTTTTGTGGTTAGTGCTTTTACTACTTTAGCTTTTGCTTCTAGAATTTTAGCTAACCATTTGCTACTTGTAGCGAGTGGCATGATTTTTAGTTTTATGTTACATGACAGTCTGTTATTTAGTGTTTTATTGTGTGGTGTAAACAAAGCAACCAATGTGGGTCTATCTCTCCTTTCTTTAGTGTCGCTGTGATGAACTACCGGAAAAAGGCCTTTTATTTGAATGGATTCTCTCCGGTTGAATTTAAAACTTTTGTTCTTTTTATTGCGCATGGACTTTGGTGTTTTGAACCACTTTGGCCATGGCTGCCTCAGAGGAGTTGACGGGGGAGAGGGCGGGCCCCAGAAACCATCTTATCATCATTATCAAACTGGTTGGTCCACTATGTGGGTGTGCTGCTTGTGGGAGTCAGTTTGTTTGTGGCTCCTTGGACTGATGAAGTCCTTTGGATGAAGGACGAAACATCTCAAACCAAAATAAAGAAACCGTCCAGATGACCTGACTGAACTTTGTTGTCTTGTTCTTCTTCAGTTATGACTTCACAATTCATCTCTTTTCTGCAACAGAAAAAATAAAACAAAACCCTGAAATATAGACTATTACGGGGAGAAACGTTTGCCCGATTTGTATTTAAATGAACTTTTGGTGTAACGTGAGATTGTTGCAGGAGCACTGCACCGCGTTTTCAAATTCCACATCATATTTTAGAACATCGTCTGTAAACGTTAACCCAGAGCCATCGATGTGTTGCTGAAGTCGACTAGCTGCGGCTGCCATCTTGAATTGGGCTGAAAGTTAATCAGGCTTAGATGCATCTAATGAGTAGCTAAAATCTGCCCAGTTGTTCACGAGTTAAACAAAAAAAAAAAAAGCCTACAAAATTAAATAAATGTGTTTCTGCTGGGTCTGAACACGAAACACAATCTGCCTTTCTTCACCCTGGACTGAAAACAAAATCATCTCAACTTTTCTGAGCAGCTTCGCAAACAAACAGCTGCAGTTTCGGCTGATGTTAAATATGAAAAATGCTTGTTTGATTTAAAATAAGATTTTATCTTTATATACAGGAAGCAGGGTTACTGGCTGTCCATTAAAACAAGACTCTAAAGACTTGTTCCTTAATAGGTTGTAAAGAAACTCATTTAGTTATTTTTCAGAGCCGATGTAAATGTGTTTATAGCTGATAAATGAACCAGCTGATTTAGTTTAATCTGAGCTGAAGAGTCCGAGTTTTCCTGCAGGGAAACTTGAACAGAAATATAGTTTGGTTCAATGAAGCTGTGAACAAGTTTATCGTTTAACAGGACTTTTTATATTTAAAGTGTCAAATATTTCAAACACTTTCTGCTACAGTGTGATGCTGAAGTAGCTGAAACGGAGTTTTAGCTAGAAGCTAAAGGAAGCAGTCACTAATTCAAAACATCTGGCTGAGAAATGTTCTCGCAGCTACATAATCGAGTCCTTCCTCAGCGCCGCCCGGTCCACTCCTCGACTCTCTGAAAGTCGACGGCCCTGGCGTGGATTTACTGATGCACTGTGAGCGTTTGAACGCCTCCTGCTGCGCAGACTGCAGCGCAGACTGCAGCTCCTTCCTGCTCCTGCAAGAGTTTCAGCTGTTTTAGTTGCAGCAGCAGCAGAGGTGAGTCATGAACTCGGCTGAGGCCCACTCGCAGTCTGCAGGAGATCTGTCGCATCTCAGCGCTGCAGGAAACCTGCTGCAGGATCCAACAGCAGCTCAAGTTTTTAGGAACTCGATCCAAACAAACAAACAAACAAACAAACAAACACACAAACAAACAAACAAACACACGGGCGCTGCTTGTTGCTTCTTTTCCGGGTGGCTGGTGTCCATTTCCAGCCGTCTCTGTGTGAGAGGTGGGGGACACCTGGACAGGTGGGACACACAGAGACAAACAACACTCTCACCCTCGAGACGGTGTCAGTTACTCATTAACCCGACATGCATGTTTTTGGCGTGTGGGAGGAACCGGAGCAAAAACAGGAACAGTCCTCATCATTAAAACACATTTAAAGTGCGTTTTATTCCAAATGAACCGTCTGGTCTCACACAGCTCCTGAGTGGGACGTGAAATCAGTTTCACAATTATTAATGGAGGAGGAGGCGTTCGCGTCTCGCAGTTTATCACGAGGCCGAGGTGGAAAACAAGTCCGTGCAGAGAAACAGAGACAACATCTGGAACATCACTCGAGCCTGCACACCTGGAACCAGTCAGCTGTGTTAGCAAAATAACACATGAAACAAACTGATTAATGTTGCTCATTCAAGGCGGCTGCCACAGCTGCTGTTTCACTGATACGGAGCTGAAGTTTGAGTGGTAGTAGCTGAGAGTCATCAGCTCGGCGCCAGACGATCCCAGTCTGACCAGCAGCAGCCAGTTTATTATTAAATGTGTTTACATTTAAAATTAACCATTTGCTCTTTGTTACAATATTTTTAATTATATTATTTGTGTATTTAAAAAGGTTTTCATTGTTTAAATCGTTTACAAAATTATCTTAAAACAAAATTGCATTATTTTTTTCTTGTGCTTTATAAATTGGGAGTGTTTTGTTTTTTAAAACAGAAACTTTTTTTTTTGTAGGTTTTAGTTATTTCGGATTTTAATAGATGTTCGGACCGGCAGGAGGCCTCGGGTCCCCCAGAGCCCGCCGGGCTGCGGGGCTCCTGCTGCGGGAGGCCCGGCCTCCTTTAGCTTTGTTGGGCACGGAGAAAGTGTGAAGTAAACAAACAAGTAAACAAAACAAGGCCCTCTTCTGTTGTGAGTGAACCTTAAGAACATTTTTACTAATTTTTTAATCAGTTTTGTGATTTTGCTCTCAAGCTAACTGTAATTAGCTAACAGCTAGCTAGCTAAAACTGAAACTTAAAGTGAAATTTTAATTTTTTAAAATTTAATGTTTTATTAGAGCTGTTTAATTTACTGCATTTTAATGGAATTAGCCTGTTAGTATTGACATGTTTGGTACGGTTCTGACGTGGTTCTTACAGGGGGGGGTTGGACCGGTTGGAGGCCGCGGCTCGTCTCCTTCTGAGACCACGGGCACCGCCCCGGAACCCAGCCGGGCTGAGGTGCCCCTGCTGCGGGTTGGAGCGGGGGAAACCCGGTCGGTGGTGGCGGAGAGGAACAACGTGACCCGACAAGGAACCTCCGGGAAAACCGTAAGTCCTGAACCCAGCAAGGAGAGGCCGAGGGCCCGGCAGGGAGGTCCCCGACGGACGGCCCGGTTCGACTGAGGGCCCAGTTATTCTGTTGGTGTTCCGGCCGTCGAGAGCCCCCTGCGGCCGGGCGGAACCCCCTCTCTGTCTGGGAGGCGGAGACGGGACCCCCGCTGACGTCAGAGGGCCTGCGTGTTTCCTGCAATAGAAAGTGAGACAGAAGGTGAGGAACCGAGCTGACCCCCCCACGGCGGCACCAGCTGCCCAGCTCTGGTGAGTGTGACCCCGCGCGGCCCGCCGCCATGTCTCCGGCTGACGGAGCGGGTCTGTCGGCGCGCCGCGGCCGGAGAAGCTGCTCCGGTTTCAGGCTGCCGTGAACTCGGAGGGCCGACTGTCGCGTGCAGCCCCGCGCGCGCTGTTCGGTCGGATTCTGCTTTTTCGAGAGGTCCTGATGAGAAATGCGTGAAAGCTCCTGGAGAGCCCGAAGCGCGTTCACGAGTTTTTGCCATTTGTGCGCGCGCTGGAGGTTTCGTCGGCTCGGTTCGGTCTGTTTGCAGAGAGAGGGGGTTTCCCTGACTCCGCCCTCTCCTACAGGGCGTTCACGTGTTGCAACAGCCTCGGTTCTGCTCGGCTCGGTTCGGCGCCAGGCCCGGTTCGTCACGTGCCGGAGCTTCAGCTGCTTCCGGCTCCGCAGGTGCAAGCTTCACCTGGTCAGGACGCAGCGTTCCCTCCAAAACAGGCGGGCAGTCTGTATGCTGGACCGCTGCAGGTGAGCCTCTGCGCGTGTGCGTGTCAGTTTTCCGTGCGGTGATGTCATCCTCCAGCAGCTGAAGCTCCATCCAGTTGTAGATGTTATGCAACAGTGGAGGGGAGACAAAGAGGGTCCTGCTGCTGCACCAGGAGGGAGGAGGTGATGCTGCAGATCTGGACCCGGGTTCTGAGGAGTTCTGCTCCTCCTCTTTCGTTCAGCGGACAGAGGGATGAAGGCGAGCTGAAGTTCAGCTGGATGTCTGTGCCCGCTTCTCGCTGCAGCTCGTTGTCTCCGTCAGTCGGACGCACCGTCCTACCGCTGTACACCCAAGCGGTTCTGATCCGGCTCCTCAGGGACACCTGTTACAACACAGATCCTGATCACGTTCTGTTCCATGTTCTGCAGATGCACCCAGGAGCTGAACCACGACCCAACATGCAGCTGTGAGCCGGCGCCAAGATGCCCCGCACCAAACAGAACCGGCCCAAGAACCTCAAAGGTGAGTCCCGGGTCTAATTGGAATGCGGGTCCGGTTCCTGAGCGTCGGGATGTTTAAGTTTTATGCAGAGCTCCTACTGAGCATGTGCAGTGGGTTCTGGTAAACAGGTGGGTCCAGTTTCATGAAGTCCAGTCCAGACTCTGAAGTGTCATCAGTTCTGAAGTGCTACCAACAGAACCGGCGTTCTGTCAACAGAACCGGGTCAGGATCACAGAGCAGAGCTGGTCTTAGTTTGAATTTCAAGTCCAAAATCTCTGAGCTTGAGTCCGATCTGACCCGTTTCTGCTCAGACCCAGAACTAAAGTCATTTTTTCCAGAACCATACCCTGGAAGAACAGCAGAGTTCTGATGCAAAATAAAAACATTTAGAGCTGAAGGTTCACCACGAGACCTAACTGTCATTTATCAATGAACTGGTCAGAACTGTGGAGCCAACAGGAAGCAGCTGGTTTTAATGTAGACTTATCAAAATAAAAGCCT